ATTTGAACCGCTGACCTGCTGATCTAGCAATAGCCTGCAGTGCTGCATTTAACCACTGCGCCACCTTGGCTCTAGAGATAGAGATAAAAAGGTAGAGATAAAAAGTTGGGTATCATCAGCATATTGATGATACCGTTCCGGATGATCTCGCCCAGCGGTTTCATATAGATGTTGAACAGGAGGGGTGAGAAAACCGACCCCTGGGGCACCACACAAGTGACACGCCTCAGGGTCGATCCCTACCCTCCAGTCAACATGAACTGTGACCGATCCGACAGGTAGAAGGAGAACCACCGTAAAACGGTTCCCCCCCACTCCCAACCCCCCGAGTCGTCGCAGTAGGATACCATGGTCAATTGTATCGAAAGCCGCCGAGAGGTCTAATAGGACCAGGACATGTTTTCCTCATGTGCTTTTATATACAGCATTAATTTATTTTGTGCCATAAAATTGTTTTCGATTCCTAGCCACCACATAGATTTTCTCTATGGGAATACAAATGTATAAATAAAAATGTAAACATAAATAAAATAGCCAATTAAAAATATTGTAGAACTCAGACGTTTATACGTTCCAATAAAATAACCTAATAACCTAAGACGAATATTCCACCTATGGATTTTGGATTTTAAAAAAAGATCATGGAGACAGTATCATTACTATGCCTGTTCTATAGGCTTGCTGGGGGCATGCAGTCAACTGCCCGCTTAGGAATCTCATTCAGATCAAATTTATTATCAGGCATTCTTAATAACAAAACTTAACAGTTCAGTGTTAAGATACTTCTGACTTTCCATAACCTGTCCCATCAGGTGATGTAAAAAGATAACAAAATTTACAGTTCAGTGTTAAGCTACAGATATGATCACATCTCATGGAACTACATTTCCCATAAGGCAGTCTCTGCCTACAACTTCCAGGAGGTGGGTTTCTTAAAGGAGACAGCTCTTAATTCCTACACTATCTATACTGCTGGCGCAGCACAATGCCTCTTTTTTTATTCTCTCAAGGGAGAGAATAACATGTTTTCCATACTTGTTTTTATTCAGATTCACGTGACTGCTAGTTTGGGATCATGTGACGCATCATGGCTGCGCCCAGCTGGCTCTGGGTTCCCCAGCTGTTCCTCTATTTGGTAGTCCCCTCGTCGACCGGGTTCATGGTCGAAACGTTAGAGCAGGTAAAAGGGGAGGAGGTTTGTCTGGGAGGGGAAGAGATATATGAGGGGCCTTTCATAGTTTCCGTCTACCTTCTTGCAGGTCTGCGGTAGCTGTGCTGGGCCCATGAGAAATGAGTCCGCAGTAGCCGTTTTCTGCGGTTCCCGGGTGGGTTCGGTTCGGCGGGGCCGCTGCTGCTTAGAAAGGGACAAGAAGATTGTTTTGGGGTGAGTCGATTCGAGCTGACGTGATCAGTTTCTAACCTTTCTCCGGGCTCCTCCCCGCCTGGGGTTCTCCAGGTTACACCCTGGAATTGCAACGCGCGGACGGCTCAGGCTTTTTCCCACTTTCACCTATGGGGAAAATAATTCATCGCCTGACGCAAGTTGGCAGCCTACCAAAATATGTTCTGTAATACAGTACTTGAGGCCAAGTACATTGTCTTTTGCTTAACTGTGGCAACAAGGCAATCCAATAAAGCAATCCAAATGCAGCCCTTGGCATCTGATAATTTTATCTGGTTTTGGATTTCAAGCTGCATTGTCCAGACATGTATTTTAAATGTTCCATTGTCCTCAAGAGATCATGATCTGATTAAGTACGATTAATTTTTTTCAAAAAAGTATGCTATGAGAACGTAAAAATGAGCATTCCAAAAATATTGTTGCAGTTAAAATCTTTCCTTCCTTCCTTTTTCAATAGTGAGAACAGTGACATAGCTAGATATTATTTAAATGTGAGAAAATATGACAACATTGCAAAAATTCCCCCCCCCCCTCAAGTAAGGGTTGTGAAATAGAAGGAAGGTCCTTCCTTTCTATGGAAAATGCTGCCTTAAATGTATTTGCCTTTTACAGTTCTGCCATTACATTTATATGGGCATCTAGTTTTAATTTAACTTTAAAATGATTATAGTGGAGTGAGGTTGATGGGATTTTAATTGTTTTATGTGAATTGTTTTATGTTTACTGAGAGTTGAGTCTTGTGAATGTTATACCTCTATAAAATAAATATACTTTGGTTAATGAGTGTTCTAAATATATGGCTATTGAACTTGTATGCTAAATTTATTTATTTTTCTTTGTTCCATTTTAATTAATAAATGTACCAAAGGAATCAAAAATGTTGTGAGAATTCAGTCAAGAAGTGTAATTGATTACTGCCTCTGTTAAAAAAAATGTTATACCAGCAGAAGTATAACATTCCATAACTGAGGTGTATGATAAGTCTTAACTAGCTATTGTGAAATATGTTTTCTATTACTCCCCAATATAAAAATAATATTACCCAGTCCTTTACACTAGAAGTAAGAGTGCTGCTTTCTCTCTTCATCTATAGGTTGGATTATGGAAACTGCTCATTGCATCAGTTGTGCTCTAGCTTCCAGGAAGTGAATACAGCTTTTGTCATGTGAGTTGAATTTGTTGGACCTGCCGCAGTTTAAACCTCTAATTAGAAATGACCCTTGGCTCCATTTGTTGAGAAAAGTATAGTTTATTAGAGGCCAAGTTTATTGCAGTAAAGCAAAACCAGAACTGAAAATCGCAGGCCAAAATCCCTAAGTTCTATTCTTCCCTCCCTCAACTGTCTCTCATTGCCCCCACCCCCCGCCCCCAGTGTAACCAATCTGGTTCAGGCAAGATGTTTTTCTAACAGTCATTTGAAGCACAGATTTGGTTTGCAGCCCCCTCCTTCCTCCAGCTGGGTGACCTTGAGGCATCGTCTTGTGGAGATACCGCACTTATATTTCCCAAAGCATTCCCCTCAGTGGTGGGTTTCTATTTCTTTTACTATCGGTTCGCCCGTGTGACCCTTCTGCGCATGCCCACTACCATCACTACCGGTTCGCTCAATCTGGGCTGAACTAGGAGCAACCCACCTCTGATTCCCCCCATCTCCCCTCCCCTCAGTTCATGACAGTCTGTCATCACAGTGAAGCACAAACAAGCATAAGGTGGCAGCTGACGATTACTGGTACTATCATGTTCATAATTCCCCATACAAGACGCAGAACTGAAAGGCTTTTTTTAAATAGTAGAGCTCTGCATGTGGCCCCCTCTGGCCCGTTTTTGGCCTCCATGACCTCCTGCAGCACTTTGTCAGCCGAAACAGGGCCATGGGGGGGATATCCCCCCACCATGCCTCTTTTTTGGCCTCCATGGCCTTTTGCAGTACTCTGTCGGCCAAAAACAGGCCGTGCAGAGGCCCCATGAGGCTCCCACATGGCTCGTTTTTGGCCTCCAGCAGCAATATGCTGGCCAAAAATGGGCCACGCACGCCAGATTTAAGCACCCCGCATGCCAGACCCATCCTGCGGGCCTTGAGTTTGACACCCCTGTACTATCCTAAACATCATTCACAGAGGAAGCAGAACATTGGCCTTGAATGTATTCTCTTCATTATTTTGTTCTTAATGTAGTGATCTGACTGATAATCCATTAGAAAGTGTGCCTGAAGACCACTTCCGAGGATTCACTCAGCTGCAGACCCTGTGAGTATTGTAAATGATGACAGATGCAAAATGAATGGAGGCTGCTGACTTGAGTTGATTTACCAAGTTTATATCCATCTCACAAGAAGTTATTCTGGCTAGCATGTAGCAAAAAGGTATAAAAACATGTTAAAAAAAGATATAAAAACACACATGCAACATGAGATTTGATCAGCAACAGAGCCACCTCAAGATCTCACTAGTGCTCTTGAGGGGCTTCCAGAAAATAAGGAGAAACAAAACTGACTCTTTAGGGGGGAGAATGTTCCATAAAGTGTTGGTATCAGGCTTCAGTAGAAATCAAAAGCTTTTCTTGGCTATGCCTATTTTCACAACATTATGCTTTTGGGGTGTGGTTTATGAGGTTTTATTTAGAGGAGGGGGAACCAGGTGTGAAATCAACTTACCTTCGCTACCGGTTCGCAAATGTGAGCGCACGCGCCACCTCTGCATACACGCAGGACCTCTCACATATGCACAGAGCATCAAAAATGGGACATGATGACGTCCGGGCAGGTGGGCGGAGCCTCCTTCGGCCACTGCTACTGGTTCGCCCAATCCAGATAGAACCAGCTGAATTATACCACTAGGGGGAATCCTATTGAATCTGCCTTTCACTTGTTGCTGATATAACTTATATTGATCCCCAGTGCTTTGCCCCAGAAGCTGGATTGTCCTGGAGGCAATGAAGTATGGAAAAATATCACCATCCAAGGGGACAATCGTATCTGTCAAGATCAAAGGAGCTCCTGCAATGGCTCATTGGGACCTGGTATGGATTTAGTAGGCAAGACCTTGTATGCTTGGGCTGTAAGGAGGTGAAAAAAGGTGGGGATTGATGATGAGGACTTTAAAAGTAAGTTGTTTACTTCCAAACTCCAACAAAACTATTTGTAGTCATGAAAAAAACAGTAGAGAAGAGTGGCTGCCTGTTGGACCTCTGGGGCCAAGGTGTTTCACAGGATTGAGACCCCTCAAAGAATGGTTGTCTCCAGGGCTAGATTTACTAAAACTCTTATCAGGAATGGGGCCATTAATATCCACTTCCTGGAACAGCATGAGAGACTGGGACAATCATATTAGCAATAGCAATAGCAGTTAGACTTATATACCGCTTCATAGGGCTTTCAGCCCTCTCTAAGCGGTTTACAGAGTCAGCATATTGCCCCCAACAACAATCCGGGTCCTCATTTTACCCACCTCGGAAGGATGGAAGGCTGAGTCAACCTTGAGCCGGTGAGATTTGAACAGCCGAACTGCAGAACTGCAGTCAGCTGAAGTAGCCTGCAGTGCTGCATTTAACCACTGTGCCACCTCGGATCTCTTGGAGGAGACGATATTAAAAGGTCAAAACCAGAAGATTAATTTGGAAGCCTCTTAGCAGCAAGTGCTGTAACTGAAGAATAGGAGTTAATTCTACAGGAATGGTTCTTATCTGCTAAAAACCTACTGCAGTTTGGGTCATGTTCAAAGGCAGCCCCATAGACTACTACATTGCAGTTGCCTAACTACCAGTTAGTAAAGGGTATGAGTGAGGGGTGAGTCACTCTTAGCCCTGTATGTTTTACTGCAGTCCGCAAACTTAGAATTAAATCTACAATTTCGTGAAACAGCTACAGGGAGGCAAACAGAAATAAACAAGGAACTCTCAAATTTCATGCTCCCATTCTGTAATCTCTTCTATGTTGATGTCAATGAGGTAGCCAAATACTATATGATATTAATCTGAGTTTTGAATTTGAGGTTTTGATTTTTTTTCATCTTAATCTATTTCTTCATTGATAACATGAAACTCTTAATAATTAATACTATCAAAGCAGCACAATTGCCTTGGGCAGTAAGGCAGTAAAGGACTATCCAGCAGGAAGTTCTTTTGCATGATATCAGTGTTCTTGCTTAGCTATTATTTCTGAAATTTATATATGAATATTTTTCAGAAATGAACTGCAGCTGGGGAAGGAGATGGGTTTGAATCTACTTCTGATTTTAGCATTAGCATTTTATGTGCTAGTCCTAGTCCTGAGTAGATTGAGCAAAATATTTGCTACAGGAAACACGGCTTGTACAAAAAGATATCATCAGTGGTAGTAGAAGGCGGCAAAAGACCTGAAGTGAGGGCAGCGAATCCTGAATCTTAGGAAGATAAAAATAGGTGGTTTTGGCAGAAAGGATTAAGGTGGGCAGGATAAGATCAGCTCTGCAAATGGAAGGCACAGTATTAAAGGGGTGTAAGAGACTGAAAGAAAACTGAAGAGAAGAAGCTGTGAGTTGTGCTGTTTATGGAATAAGATTTAAAAAGTGAGAAGATATCCTCACTCTTTCCCCTCCACCCACTTTCTCTACAGTTTGGGTATGCCCAGAGGGATCACTTTGTAGTTCTGACGGACCTGGCTTGTCTCAGTGCCTCTGTGTAGAGCCATACCATGGCTACAAATGTTTGCGCCAGGTAAGCTGGTTTTTGATTATGCTGGAATTTATGCTCTGTAGTCTATATGCTTTTTCCTCTGGTACAAGGAGATGCGGCTTTGGGGCATGGTTATTTCATCCAAAATAAGACCTATTAAATGAAATACCGTATTTTTTAGAGTATAAGATGCTCTTCCACCCCCTGCAAGAGGCTGAAAATTTGGGTGTGTCTTATATTCCAAATGTAGCCCCACCCACCTACCAGGCCCCACCTTTCGGCCTCTACGTATCCTCTTCCTGGCTGCAGAGATTGCCATAGACAATGGCTTGCATTTTTGGGCTCTACACCTCGCGTTTTCAGCCTCCAAACGCTCCGTTTGAGACCCACTCAAGGCTGATCATGGCCTCTCGCATTGCGTTTTTGGGCGGCAGTTGGAGCATTTGGAGGCTGAAAACACGAGGCGTGGACCCAAAATGGCAACCCGGAACAGCTGCTGCCGTCTCTTACCTCTTCCGCGCTTCGCCTACTTTACTAATTGCAGCTTCCTGCGATGATCAACTGCGCTTTAGAAGCTGCTTTTCAGGCCCAGCGAGGCTGAAAAACAGCTTCTAAAGCTGTGTTAAGTGCGCTCACTCACAACCAGCAAACTAATCTGCTGAAGCTGTGCTGAAGGACGGCAGCCAGATGAATACTTGGTAGGCAGAAATTATTTTTCCCTATTTTCCTCCCCCAAAACTAAGGTGCTTCTTATACTCTGGAGCATCTTATACTCTGAAAAATATGGTAGATTATTCAACTGGGAATAATCATTAGAAGGAGGAACACTGCCTTCTTCTCGCTGAGGTTGTTGGAAACTAACATCCAACAGCATTGGAGGACTTCAGTCTGATAAAAGCCCATTTGATTCAAGCCATTGAGACTGATGAAGAGGAATCTTTGGGAGCTAATCAAATTAGAAACAGCCTTCTGCGATTTCTCTGCGGGTCGCCCATGAGGCCAATGATGAAGGAAGACACGGACACATGTTCCCTCGGGATGAGCCGACCCAGAGCATAGTCTGGATGACTCCTTTATTGAGCATACACAAAGAAAGGGTGGAGTCACATGGTCTATGTGGACCAATCATGGTTGTACAAGTCTATGGTATATGGTAACTCATTTACTACCATGTAGACCTCTGAACCTAGAGAATGCCCATAGTCAGCAAATAAATCTTTTACTAGCATGCAAGCTTCTGACCCCTAGTTAATACTGCAGAGTCAGCATGCAAACTTTTGACCCCTACTTAGTGCTGAGAGTTAACAGGTTGTGACCTCTGACCTACTTAGTGCTTCAGAGTCAGCAGTTTGTATTACTGACCTTTTGGTATGGTTAATCATTACTGCTGTTGTATATGTGTTCCAGCATAGCTATGCATGCCTACACTTACGTTACAACAGCCTTCTAATTTTCCTTTACCTTTCAGGGCAATTTTCCATACCTGCTTTTCTTCGGAACTTTGGGAGTCATCACCATCACTCTCTCCACCTTCCTTTGGATCACACAGCGCCATAAAGCGAAAACCCTTTAGTGGCCTCTCCAGTCTCCAGGTCCACCAACACTCCACAAAGGAGGTGGGAGTTTACAAGTCTTGTCTGCTGTTACCCTTTGGTTTTGGAACTGGAGATTCCCAATTTTTCTGGGGGAAATAATTTTTGGATTAGAGCCTTTCAGAGTGGTTATGCTCTGTTACATGTTCGGACACATGGGAGAATACTGTAGCAGTTACTGTACAGGAACACATTATTTCCAACTGGACCTGTTAATTGGCCAATGCATACAAGTTGGGGCTATCAATAAAATGTAAAAAGAGAACTGGGGGAAATTAATGTCTTATTGAGTGATATTCTTTGGAGTGTACATTTAATTTCTAATAAAGTAAATACAACTAATCATGGTTGTGACTGGATATGACGAAAACCAGTGCTTGTGTGACTCTTGATTGCTTAGGGTTTAATCCAGATTTCTTTCTTCTACTATTAGAATCAGGGAGCCTGAGGAAAAAGTGTTAGTTAGAAGCAGTATAAGGGTGCTCTTTTTCAGGGGAAGTTTTTCTGGGTCTGGAATATTCAAAAGAGAGCTTATGAGACACTCAACCCCATCCTTACTCCTGTTACTTCAAGACACCTTTTGGATTCTACCATAAAGGGACCCAGTTGTTCTGCCTTAAAATTTAAGGGTTTATTTTAATAAATAACTGAAGCATATTTATTTCTCTAGCCTTTACTCTTTTTTGGGACCTGATTACTTCCAAAATATCTGCTCTGCTCTTTTTCCCCATGCATATTACGGAAAGCTTGCAAGTTTGCCCTCTTTCTTTCTTCAAATGTCTTCTGCAAATCATGAAGCAGTCGGAGAAACTATCTGTCTGCATTCCAGGGCAAAGTTGAACTAATAATGCTGGATAGCCATTTGTCTGGAACGGTATAGAGTTTCCTGCCTAGGCAGGGGGTTGGACTAGAAGACCTCCAAAGTTCCATTAGCTTATCAATAACTGATTTAAACTGATTTTAAACTTCCTTGGGATATGTATTTTTGGGACACATTGTTCCAAGGATTTGATCCACATCTACTTTCCACTTGCAAAAATAAATAAATCCAAGCTTGGCTCTCTGGAGATTGCTAAATTAGGCAGAAATGTATATAATCAAGGCAGCAGCACTGCAAGGAAGCAGCAGCTTCAGTTAATCGATAAACCAGAGAAGGTTTCATAGCATGTCTGCTCTTGATTGTTTTAAATTCCATGCGCTCAGTTTTGAGGCTTAGGAATGTGCTCAGATAAAAAAGGAATTTAGTTTCATTGAATATGTACAGAGGTGGTCAGCAATCTCTACTGAGAGACAAATGGCAAATAGATGTACAATGTAGTCCATTTTGAAAAGAAAGAAATATAACAAAATAACCATGTCAGATTATGGCAAGAAATTGAACTCTGAAGATTGGAAGAACGTAACGATACCTTGGGTAAAATCAATTGCAATTATGAAAATGAATATACTTCAGTGCCAACAACCGTGGCTGAATGAAGAGCTAGCAAGTAGATCCTCCTTGTGAGAAGACTTCAAAACAAAATCTCCTGCTGGTTTAGAACTCTTGGAGACCATCTTGCTCAAACCATGGACGGTGCATTTGAAGTGCATCAGGTTCAACTTACTTCCTTTTCTAATCACTTTCAGAAAATGGTTAACTGCTTTTCAGCTATCCTTTTTCCCTGAAAATAAGAGCTCCCTGGATAATAAGTCCAATCGGGCTTTAGAGTGCATGTGCTAAAATAAACCCTTCCCTGAAAATAAGCCGTCCCTGAAAATATTGCAACACAGCAGCAGCCATGAGGTGACCACGCTCCTGCACCTCAAAAATAAGACCTCCCCCAAAATAAGGCCAAGTGATTATTTCAGGGAAACACGGTATTAGGAACATTTGGATGTACTTTGAAATCAAACTTTTCTTAAAAGATAACAAAACTCCAAGAAACAATTTGATGAGATATAAGTTCACAGCAGTAAGAATAAATTTTGACCAAAATTTACTAGAAGGAAGATATAATCCTGACAATATTTAACTGGGAATTTAAATTTAGAGAATATGCAGTAATGACAAAATTAGCAACATAATATAATGTAAGTTTAAACAAAAATGGCTTCCATACACACAATATATCACACAGGATGGTAAACATTACAATTTGGTTTCTAGATATTTACAAATGCTATAAAATAACTGATAGGGAAAGTAAAAAAAACGGAAAAGGTAGACATCCAATTTTCCCCTTTTTTCCCTTTATTAACATTCTAATTGTTAAGACAATCAGTTTGGTAGAGTGGTAAAAGAACCAGTCTACAAATTGGGAGATTGTGAAATAATGGGTCTTTCTAGGCAATGGATAAGTAATTTGGTATTTTTTGGATCCCCAGTTCAATGTCTCCTTGCCCTCATATTACTGCTTGGTTGTTATTGCTCCATAACTAGTATGGAGTTATACAAATAAAATAATTGGATTTTTAAAAAATGAAATATTTTCCATAATACAGCTTCCTGTATACTGTGGCATAATCATGGTGGCTATAGAGATTTCCATTCTTCTTCCATGCTTTGGAAGATAACAAATCTTGCAAATGATGAAGTCTTTTTTCCCCCAAAATATTTCAAAAGCAACAGTACATGAATCCTATTTGCAAAAATACAAATTTCTTGCTAGGCCACAAGATGGTGCTGGAGTGCTATAATTTGTGTTGAGGGACACTGCATTTAAGTTATGAATTTACATTTGCACAGAGAAATAAAAATCAGATGGCTTCTAATACACCTACACCAAAATAAATATCTAACAAAGATTCCTAGCTAAAAACATCATTTATAAACAAATACTTTGAATCTTGAAAGAAAATATTTTTGTAGAGCTCCCCTAGTTGCTGGGGATGGGGGGGGGGGTACATTCAAACATATCAGAATTATTTTTAGCTTAATAGTATTTCTCCCTGATTAGGCATAGCAACTCTAGTCTGCATCTCCAGAATTCTGCCCTTTGTCATTTATAAGACAAATGTTTTTCCCATGTAGAAGAATGGATTACACAGAGAACCTCTTTATAAGGCCAAAATTCAATCTTACTTTTGTGAATGTATGTTTCAACTCAGATGCTGGTTGGCTGAGAACATGGCCAGGCTCAGAGTCTACCTCTGAACAGAAAGCAACTGATCCAATCTGTATTACATCACAAAGTAAACTCTAGTCTAACCCTTATGTTCTTGATGAAACTGGGCCATCTCTAATCTTGTAGTTTATTTAAACTTATTTAAGCAGCAGTGTTACACATACTAATGCAATTTTAATCTTAACTGAGTATAAAACACTGAAGTCTCCACTGGTTTCCCCTTTGGATATCAAAACCAGGAGCCTGGAGTTCTAGTCCCACTGTAGTAGTGGTGGGTTTCAAAATTTTTAGAACCTCTTCTGTAGGTGTGGCCTGTTTTGTGGGAGTGGCTTGCCAGCCATGTGACTGGGTGGGAGTGGCTTGCCAGCCATGTGACTGAATGGGCATGGCCAACTTGTAAAATGTGGTGAAACTCACTTAACAATGTTCTTGCTTAGCAACCAAAATGTTGGCTCAGAAACTCTGGCATTTGAAG